GTAGATTCAGATCTAATGACCAGACAAGTTCTAGTGTTATCATTGCCATTTGTTTTGTCAATCATCTCCAGACTGGTAATAACAATCACATGGTTCAACAAGCTGTATCTCTCACACTAACAACACAAAACTTACAGTCAATCCTTGTCCCTGATCACTGGTTTCAATGTGTGATTACAAACTACTCACTAGAAATAGATTTGAGTAAGGCATAACAAAAGTACAAAAGTGATTAAAGATCATCTAAACCGTAACTAACTGTGAATAAACTGCTACCAAAGGGAGATAAACTGTGCCATAGAGTAGCATGATCAACAAAAAATCAACCAACAACAAGTGTTGTGATATAGGACAGAAAACCAACAACAAGTGTTGTGATATAGGACAGAAAACCAACAACAAGTGTTGTGATATAGGACAGAAAACCAACAAGTGTTGTGATATAGGACAGAAAACCAACAACAAGTGTTGTGAAATAGGACAGAAAACCAACAAGTGTTGTGAAATAGGACAAAAAACCAACAAGTGTTGTGATATAGAACAGAAAACCAACAAGTGTTGTGATATAGGACAGAAAACCAACAACAAGTGTTGTGATATAGGACAGAAAACCAACAACAAGTGTTGTGATATAGGATAGAAAACCAACAACAAGTGTTGTGATATAGGATAGAAAACCAACAACAAGTGTTGTGATATAGGACAGAAAACCAACAACAAGTGTTGTCATCAAGGAGACAAACCAATAACAAGTGTTGTCATCAAGGAGACAAACCAACAAAAAGTGTTGTGATATAGGACAGAAAACCAACAACAAGTGTTGTCATCAAGGAGACAAACCAACAACAAGTGTTGTGATATAGGACAGAAAACCAACAACAAGTGTTGTCATCAAGGAGGCAAACCAACAACATGTGTTGTGATATAGGACAGAAAACCAACAACATGTGTTGTCATCAAGGAGACAAACCAACAATGTTGTAATCAAGTACAAACAAAACAACAACAACGTTGTGATCACGGACAGACAAAACAACAACAACGTTGTGATCCAGGACAGACTTACTACTAGTGTAGAAGGCAAACAATCAAGCTCTCATGAATAACCTTAATAACACTAGCTAGACCATTATTTATCCAGGAATGCACTAGTTAGACTACCAGAAGTATTCCTCTCCAACATGTACTGTGATAAAACTCTCGTGTTTATGGTTCAGTTATATCTGCACGACAATCAGGCAATGCACCTGCATACAACATGATGTACTGAGACAAGTAAACAAGCCAACAGCAGGGATGACAAGACAGTCATGAAAGTAGATTGGGAGGGAAATCATTGATACACCATGACAAGTGATGAGGCATTCAATTGGTGGAATACTCCAGTGTGAAATGGGGCTAGATAGGGATAGCCAAGTTCAATAATTCACCTTCTGCTGCACATTGGTGGGACATATTTCACAGACAAGGAAACTTGAGATAAATTAAATTATCTATCATATTTCACACCCAATCAACCTTTGGAAGGTATATCTGGCAATCGTTTTACTCTTGTCTACATCTCAAGTAAGATATGCCACACAGAATCATCTGTAGTCTGACAGTGTCACTTGTATTCTGACAGAAAAATCTCACACAGTTTTATTGTAGTCAAACAGACAAAATCTCACACAGTATCACAGCAGTTTGACAGACAAAATCTCACACAGTACCACCAGTAGTCTGACAGACAAAATCTCACACAGTATTACCTGTAGTCTGACAGACAAAATCTCACACAGTATCACCTGTAGCCTGACAGACAAAATCTCACACAGTATCACCTGTAGTCTGAAACTTGTTAAGTCATACATGTGTATTGTGTGTGTGTAATTCATTTTGATTACGAATTGTATAAATAACTAAGTTTAACTATAACATATACATGTATGTAAATCAATAATGACACAACGTTCCTATAATCACAATGTGTTTTAAGTCCAATGTTTTTTTTCTTGTCCTATAAGTACATATTCAGACCAGCACTATGTGAAAGATAAGACAGGACAGTGACATTAAGAAAGCCGTACATGCATGTAGTATAATGAAGGATTGCATGAGAACAGAAAAACAGTTATTTGATAACAGACTTCGAGTTCAATAAAATCATATTTGGAGTTAGCTCCATATACAAAGTGATAAAAATGACACAGCTTTCATGACAATTACGACAGCATAAAACAGCCCAACCAACAAACTAAAGCACATTTCGTGTGTGTCCAGTTAGACTTCAATGAAGCACCAATATCAAGCATTGAGTAGCAGGGTCTTAGATAGCGGACACATTATGTCTTAATACTCGTGTTACTGACCAAATATCTCTGACAAATTGGGTTTTTGACAGGTCTAATGATTTGAAGCCTTGAGATTTATTGGACAATGTTCCCTTTTTATGACCTATTGCACAAGGTTTACATTGCCGGATTAATACGCAACAACACGTCGACAAACACAACTGTGGGGGATTTAATTACCCGTCCGTCGCTGCCTGAGGAAATTCAATTTGGGACCACTTTCTTAAGATACCGTTTTTCTTTAAAATTCCCTTAAGTAGCTAGGAGGGGTTTCATTCAACAAGTCTTCCTCCAGTCTCAATGATAGTTTCATGACGAGGCACAGGATCATTCCTTTTTCGAAGTTAATTGTTTGTGGAGTTATGGCCCTTTTGGGGACACATTTGCTAGTTGTCATTTCGCGACTTGTGAGAAAACGTCCCTTTTTATAGAACATTCGTTGTTGTTTATCACAAGTTGGAGCTGAGAGGAAGGTGCTGTTAGACAGTAGACATCATTCCTCTACACTCCAGATCACTTTTAGGTGACAGGTTTTATTTCATTCTATTTCAACTTTTTCTCCTTTAAATTTATCTTTCACACTTGATATCATGTTAGTGTAATGAAATCAACAATGTCTTTTTGTCCTGTTGGCATGTACATGTCATTTCTATAGCTATAATCATGTCAGCAAGTGTTTATACATCTTTGTTTTATTATATATACAATTAAGCAATAGTAAAGCATACATCACTGGCTTCCTTTCGTTTTCAACTATCAGATTCACAATTTATGGTTGTCAATATAAAATTCACACATTTATATCATGTCAAAGTTCAATATTGTGTTGTGATATCAGAAAACTTATCATCATTGCCGACACTATTCAGAGCAAGATAGACCATTAAAAACATCACGATAGGTAACAAGAGAGCTGTGGCCCTTGATGATCTTCTGACAATCGATGGTTGGATGGACAGAGCACAGAAAAGAGTAAAGTTGGATTTTGGACCAATGAGAAATCTCACAATCACTTCATACACATAGATATCATTGCCACCCCTTATAATGTTCCAGACCAAATTGGGTTGAAATCCAATCAAGCAAAAAGACAGAGTAGCATTTTAAAGCAAAATATTGTCAAATCTTCCCCTTTCAGGATCTAATTAACTTTCTGAATCTAAAAAATGATTCCTCAACTCCAATGACATTTTTAGACAAATTTGGTTGAAATCTAACCAGAGATAAAAAAGTAGTTAAATTTTAAAGCAAAACATTTCCTAGCTTCATATTTTGGGGTTGCACTCCTAAGACCCTTAGGGTTAAATAAACTTTATGAATTTAAGAATTAATTGCCCACTCCTTATGATGTTTCAGACAACGTTTGAATGAAATCCAAATAAGCATTAAGTAAGAGTAGCTTTTTGAAGCAAAGCATTGTCAAATTTCTCTTTGGAGGCCCCGCATCTAAGTCCCTAGGTTTCAAATTAATTTTTGACTTTAAGAAATAATTGCCCACACCTTTTCATGGTTCAAACAAAAATTTGGTTGAAATCCATTCAAGTGCTGAGGAAGAGCAGCATTTTGAAGCAAATATTATCCAATTCCATCACTGTTTAATTTCCAATTTTGGGGCCCCAACCCCAGATCCAAAGGGTTCAAATCAGCTTTCTGAATTTAAGAAATGATTCCCAACCTCAAATGACATTTCAAACCAAATTTAATTGAAATCTACCACTGCATTAAGAAGGTGCAGTGTTTTAAAGCAAAATATTGTTTATTTTTCCCTTATGGGAACCCTGTCCCAGGTCCCAATGGGTCGAATCAACTAAAGATGGTTGTTCTTACCTAATGATGTATCAGACCAAATTTGGTTAAAATCTACCAAAGTATGAAGGAGGAGTAGCATTTTGAAGCAAAATATTGTTAAAACTTCCCCTTTTGCAGCCAAATCCCCAGGTCCCTATAACACAGCTTGCCCTCAACAAATGAAAAATCAGACCAAATGTGGTTGAATTACATCATGGCATGAAAGAGGAATTGCTTATCAAAGCAGAAAATTGTCTTACTTCCCCTTTCAAGGCCCTGTCACTAGGTTATATGGGGTCCAATTTACTTTCTGAATAAAACAAATCTTTGTCCTCACCCGCATGAAGAAGGAGTAGCATATTAAAGCAAAATATTATCTAACTTAAACTTCTGGGACCCCGTCCCCAGGTTCCTTGGGAACAAAACAACTTTTTAAATATAAGCAATGATTGCCTTCACCAAATGATACATTAGATGAATTTTGGTTGAAATCCATAAAGGAGAAGTAGCAGTTCACAGGAGAAGTTTACACACAACATATAATGAACAACGACGATGGAGGGGGGGGGGGGGGGGGGGGGAAGCATGACAGCAATAGGTCATCTTGACCCTTTGGGGTCAGATGACCCAATACTGAATCAGAATTTAATTCCAAACATTAGTTTCACTTCAAACATCTTTACAAGAAAACATTCAGTGTGAACTTCAATGTCATTATCCAAACATAAAATCATAATACTTTGTTTGATAGGTCTTCCTTGTTCAAGTATAGACCAAGTCTAGAACAGAGTCATGTATAACACATTTTCCAGGTCAGTAAAATGACAGGGCTATTTATGCAATAATCTTTACTCAAGTAATTTGCTGACCATTTCATACCTGCATTTCTAGGTGTGAATTACGATCCCGAAGACAGTCCATCTCAGTCTGTAACTTGCCGAAATTGTCCTGGTTGTCCATTCGCCTAAAGGATATAATCATATATTTTACCTTCTACCGACAAATTGATACATTAATATAGACTGTACCGACAGATCAATATAAACTGTACCTACAGACAGACATATCATTATAAACTGTACCTACAGACAGACAGATCATTATAAACTGTACCTACAGACAGACAGATCATTATAAAATGTACCTACAGACAGACATATCAATATAAACTGTACCTACAGACAGACATATCAATATAAACTGTACCTACAGACAGACATATCATTATAAACTGTACCTACAGACAGACAGATCATTATAAACTGTACCTACAGACAGACAGATCAACATAAATTGTACCTACAGACAGAGAGATCATTATAAACTGTACCTTAAGACAGACAGATATATATTGCACCTACAGACAGATAGATATAAATTGTACCTTAAGACAGACAGATATATATTGCAGACAGATAGACATAAATTGTACCTTAAGACAGATATATATAAATTGCACCTACAGAGAGATAGATATAAATTGTACCTACATACAGATAGATATAAATTGTACCTTAAGACAGACAGATATATATTGCACCTACAGACAGACAGACATAAATTGTACCTTAAGACAGACAGATATATATTGCACCTACAGACAGATATATATAAATTGCACCTACAGACAGATAGATATAAATTGTACCTTAAGACAGACAGATATATATTGCACCTACAGACAGATAGATATAAATTGTACCTTAAGACAGATATATATTGCACCTACAGACATATAGATACAAATTGTACCTTAAGACAGATAGATATATATTGCACCTACAGACAGATAGACATAAATTGTACCTTAAGACAGATATATATAAACTGCACCTACAGACAAATGGACATAAATTGTACCTTAAGACAGATAGATATACATTGTACCTACAGACAGATAGACATAAATTGTACCTAAAGACACATTGATATTAATTGTACCTATAGACAGAGGTATATGAATTATACCTAAACACAGAAAGATATAAATTGTATCACAAACTCAACCTTACAGACAAATAGACATAATTTTCCGTAGGCTTACAGCAACTCAACAGGAAGAGTAAATGTGGATCTGATAGGATGTTGAATAAGATCTGTTACTAAGGTGACAGAGAACACAGGAAATGTGTCTGTAGATCTGTTACTAAGGTGACAAAGAGAAAACAGGAAGTGTGTGTGTAGATCTGTTACCAAGGTGACAAAGAGAACACAGAAAATGTGTCTGTAGATCTGTTACTAAGGTGACAGAGAAAACAGGAAATGTGTCTGTAGATCTGTTACTAAGGTGACAGAGAAAACAGGAAATGTGTCTGTAGATCTGTTACTAAGGTGACAGAGAAAACAGGAAATGTGTCTGTAGATCTGTTACTAAGGTGACAGAGAACACAGGAGATGTGTCTGTAGATCTGTTACTAAGGTGACAGAGAACTCAGGAAAAGTGTCTGTAGATCTGTTACTAAGATGACAAAGAGAAAACAGGAAGTGTGTGTGTAGATCTGTTACCAAGGTGACAAAGAGAACACAGAAAATGTGTCTGTAGATCTGTTACTAAGGTGACAGAGAAAACAGGAAATGTGTCTGTAGATCTGTTACTAAGGTGACAGAGAACTCAGGAAATGTGTCTGTAGATCTGTTACTAAGATGACAAAGAGAAAACAGGAAGTGTGTGTGTAGATCTGTTACCAAGGTGACAAAGAGAACACAGAAAATGTGTCTGTAGATCTGTTACTCAGGTGACAAAGAGAACACAGAAAATGTGTCTGTAGATCTGTTACTAAGGTGACAAAGAGAACACATAAAATGTGTCTGTAGATCTGTTACTAAGGTGACAGAGTAAACAGGAAGTGTGTGTGTAGATCTGTTACCAAGGTGACAAAGAGAAAATAGGAAGTGTGTCTGTAGATCTGTTACCAAGGTGACAAAGAGAACACATAAAATGTGTCTGTAGATCTGTTACCAAGGTGACAGAGAACTCAGGAAATGTGTCTGTAGATCTGTTACTAAGATGACAAAGAGAAAACAGGAAGTGTGTCTGTAGATCTGTTACTAAGATGACAAAGAGAAAACAGGAAGTGTGTCTGTAGATCTGTTACCAAGGTGACAAAGAGAAAATAGGAAGTGTGTCTGTAGATCTGTTACCAAGGTGACAAAGAAAATACAGGAAGTGCATCTGTAGATTTGTTACTACAGTGACAAAAAGAAAACACAGGAAGTGTGTCTGTGTATCTGTTACTACAGTGACAAAGAAAACACAGGAAGTGTGTCTGTGTATCTGTTACTACAGTGACAAAGAAAACACAGGAAGTGTGTCTGTGTATCTGTTACCAAGGTGACAAAGAGAACACATAAAATGTGTCTGTAGATCTGTTACCAAGGTGACAGAGAACTCAGGAAATGTGTCTGTAGATCTGTTACTAAGATGACAAAGAGAAAACAGGAAGTGTGTCTGTAGATCTGTTACTAAGATGACAAAGAGAAAACAGGAAGTGTGTCTGTAGATCTGTTACCAAGGTGACAAAGAGAAAATAGGAAGTGTGTCTGTAGATCTGTTACCAAGGTGACAAAGAAAATACAGGAAGTGCATCTGTAGATTTGTTACTACAGTGACAAAAAGAAAACACAGGAAGTGTGTCTGTGTATCTGTTACTACAGTGACAAAAAGAAAACACAGGAAGTGTGTCTGTGTATCTGTTACTACAGTGACAAAGAAAACACAGGAAGTGTGTCTGTGTATCTGTTACTACAGTGACAAAGAAAACACAGGAAGTGTGTCTGTGTATCTGTTACTACAGTGACAAAGAAAACACAGGAAGTGTGTCTGTGTATCTGTTACCAAGGTGACAAAGAGAACACATAAAATGTGTCTGTAGATCTGTTACCAAGGTGACAGAGAACTCAGGAAATGTGTCTGTAGATCTGTTACTAAGATGACAAAGAGAAAACAGGAAGTGTGTCTGTAGATCTGTTACTAAGATGACAAAGAGAAAACAGGAAGTGTGTCTGTAGATCTGTTACCAAGGTGACAAAGAGAAAATAGGAAGTGTGTCTGTAGATCTGTTACCAAGGTGACAAAGAAAATACAGGAAGTGCATCTGTAGATTTGTTACTACAGTGACAAAAAGAAAACACAGGAAGTGTGTCTGTGTATCTGTTACTACAGTGACAAAGAAAACACAGGAAGTGTGTCTGTGTATCTGTTACTACAGTGACAAAGAAAACACAGGAAGTGTGTCTGTGTATCTGTTACTACAGTGACAAAGAAAACACAGGAAGTGTGTCTGTGTATCTGTTACTACAGTGACAAAGAAAACACAGGAAGTGTGTCTGTGAATACTACAGAGACACATGCTGACTATTTCCTCTAGATGTAAAGACAGGAAGAGGAAGTGGTGGGACATCACAAGTTGTATATTAATTCAAAATTGGAGGATCACAAGGAGTAGTAATTGACAGGTAACTGAAAACATGTTGGTGCGTACTGTCTTAAAACATCCTAAATCTGGCTCAATGCTTAAACAATTGGATGCAAATTGCACAATTTGCATCACAACAGCACAATTTGTAGTTTAAATTAACAAAACATTAACAAATGTCTGATGAAAGGAGAGAGATTGGACTTTTATTATCTCACTGATAATAGAACCAACAGAGAGGTATGGGGCTTCACCGGAAAAATCCCTGACATATATGATACAGGACTGAAACCAAGGAAGACTTTAATCTAATGTTTGGGATGTGAACAACTTCAAAAACATTTTAGTCTGTCAGAAAAATAATAACACTGAGGTTATTTCTCCTGTCGTTTTCATCTCTCAATAAACAAACATAAATCTAATTAATGACAACTATCCCGTTTTTTTCATCAGTGTAGAGTTATTACTTTTTATTTAACACATGCAACTGCGTCAATTATCCTTGTTTCAATTAAAACAAGCATGTCTTTACAAATCACAGTGAGGATCCGTATACATCACATACCGCACAGCGATTTCACCAAGTTCCTTGGTTCGGGCCGCCACAAGTGTTTGCAATTCCTCAATCCTCTCATCTTTCATCTGTAGTATTTCCAGCACTTTTCTGTCCTTATTCTCTGACTTTTCTTTTTCTCTACAAAGTTAACGAAAAAAAATGTTAAATCTGTTTCAAATGTGTTTAATGACATAGCCAATCCTCGTTATGTCTCTCAGGAGGAAGTATTTCATTATTCAAGCTACGGTTTGTACCCTTAATTTGAATACATAAAGAATGTCAGGTTCACTTAATTAATGTGTCGGTGTGTATTAGCTTGCAAAGAAAACTCAATGAAATTTGAATTATAAAGATAATCCCTGATTTGTTTCAGAATGTCAATTTAGCCCATAAAGATTCACCCCACACCATATGTCTTTGGTTATATAACCATCAGAGATGCTATCAACCTTGGAAAGTCCAATTCATACTAGTAGTATATTTATAACAGTATACTGGCAATCATCATTTATTGTCAAAAACCTACTACTAGGCAGACAACATTCAGACCCAATTTCCTCATTCGAACTACAACAGGACTGACAAATTTCAACCTCAATTTCCTAATCCAAACTACATCAGGACTCATAAATTTCAACCTCAATTTCCTAATCCAAACTACATCAGGACTCACAAATTTCAACCTCAATTTCCTAATCCAAACTACATCAGGACTCACAAATTTCAAACTCAATTTCCTAATCCAAACTACATCAGGACTCACAAATTTCAAACTCAATTTCCTAATCCAAACTACATCAGGACTCACAAATTTCAACCTCAATTTCCTAATCCAAACTACATCAGGACTCACAAATTTCAAATTCAATTTCCTAATCCAAACTACATCAGGACTGACAAATTTCAAACTCAATTTCCTAATCCAAACTACATCAGGACTGACAAATTTCAACCTCAATTTCCTAATCCAAACTACATCAGGACTCACAAATTTCAAATTCAATTTCCTATTCCAAACTACATCAGGACTGACAAATTTCAACCTCAATTTCCTAATCCAAACTACATCAGGACTGACAAATTTCAAATTCAATTTCCTAATCCAAACTACATCAGGACTAACAAATTTCAACTTCAATTTCCTTATCCAAACTACATCAGGACTAACAAATTTCAACTTCAATTTCCTTATCCAAACTACATCAGGACTGACAAATTTCAACTTCAATTTCCTTATCCAAACTACATCAGGACTGACAAATTTCAACCTCAATTTCCTCATTCAAACTACATCAGGAATAACAAATTTCAACTTCAATTTCCTTATTCAAACTACATCAGGACTAACAAATTTCAACTTCAATTTCCTTATCCAAACTACATCAGGACTGACAAATTTCAACCTCAATTTCCTCATTCAAACTACATCAGGAATAACAAATTTCAACTTCAATTTCCTAATCCAAACTACAACAGGACTAACAAATTTCAACTTCAATTTCCTTATCCAAACTACATCAGGACTCACAAATTTCAACCTCAATTTCCTAATCCAAACTACATCAGGACTCACAAATTTCAACCTCAATTTCCTTATCCAAACTACATCAGGACTGACAAATTTCAACCTCAATTTCCTAATCCAAACTACATCAGGACCAACAACTTTCAATTTCAATTTTCTCCTCAAAACAATAACAGGAAGTTACCACACTGGTCAATTGCTTTGACCCTTTTCATAGGATCTGGACAATGGTAAATGGTTTTCCTCTGTTCATAGGAATTTGACAACTGTTTTGTCTTTGTTTAGGCTGAAGACACTGGTCACTTGATGTGTCTAGTTCAGGCTAGGAGACTGCATGATCAACTATCGTGTCTCTGTTCAAGTCTGGATACTGGGTCAACTACTTAGACTCTGTTCAGGCTAGGAGACAGACTGGTCAACTATCTTATCTCTGTTTAAGCTAGGAGACTGGCCAAATATATTTACTCTCTAAAGGCCTGGACACTGGTCAACTATTTTACCTCTGCTCTGGCTAAAAGACTGGTCAACCATCTTATCTCTGTTAGTCAAGGAGACTTGTCAAATGTTTTGTCTCTGTTCAGATAAGGAGACTGGTCAACTGTTTCCAAACACTGGACACTGGTCAATTACTATGTCTCTGTACAGACATACTAGTTTTAACTGTTTTGTCTATGTTCATGCCAAGGAGCAGGTCATCTCTGTATGTCTGTGTATATAAACGTCTGATTTCGGATGAAAACAAGGACATAAAAAGATGTATCATTATAAACTGCGATGGAAACATAAATACATTTGGTATATGAAAAGGCAGTGCAACTGTTCCCAACTGCTTTGACGTCTGGGAATTTCTGACGGGAAATTTGTGTGTGAACCGGACTTGGTTATCAATTAGAAAGTATTAAGGAGGACAAAGTCAGTATGTAGCAGGACAGATCACACACTGTCTAAACAGTGACAATGTTTGTAGACAAATTACTGGTAAGACTTCACAAGTGCCTTCATCCCAGCAGCCTCTAAAACAACTCCAGATAGGTCCAATTATTGTACCATCAATGTATTATACAATGCTAATAGCTGTGTCATCTCCAGTCTTCAAAACATACAATCACATGTACATGGCTAATGTGATAAAGCATATGCCTAATTTCATCAAACTCTTTAACACTGTCATGAAAACCATACCAAGGCTCACATATAAAAAATCATATTAGCCTTATAGACTTAATGGTCCTTGGCCAAGAGAAGTAAAACTTGTTTTTATTTATTGTTTAATAATTAACGCTGATAGATATAGGAAGTCAGAATTGGCCTGGTGTGATAGTGCACATCAAATGGTGCCCTATTCCCTGGCTAGTCATTGTTGGTTGATTACCACACAAACAGGCTGTCTGCTGGCTTCTGCGTCCTATGTAGGTTTGGCCAATTAGTTATGAAAAATGCAAACCTCCCCTGCAAGGCCTCTAGATGATTGAAACAGAATCAACATCATCACAAAGACATTGCTGTGGAGTAAGACAGAGGTCACAAAAAGACAACTGTTGCAGTAACATTAGGTCCATCACGTCATGCTGCAGCACAACTGCATGCCTTCAGCAAGCGAATCACTTCGACTGATATTAAAACTGGACACACAGAGTAACAGGTACCATTGACCTGTATGATTTGCTTTCAACTACATATAAATATGTTGAATTAACCTGATGAATGAATATTTTTATCCATCAACCATACATGATAATTTGTATCTAACAATATCAATTAGACATGTAGAACTATCATTTTGGGTAGTATGTATATCAAATACACAAAACATGTTCATTAACCTCTGATATGTGGAACCCTGGGCCTGTATAATAAGACATGAGGTATCCTGAACCTGTATAATCAGACATCAGGTACCCTAGACCTGTATAATCAGACATCAGGTATCCTGGACCTGTATAATCAGACATGTGGTAGTCTGGACCTGTATAATCAGACATGAGGTATCCTGGACCTGTATAATCGGACATGTGGTACCCTGGACCTGTATAATCAGACATGAGATATCCTGGACCTGTATAATCAGACATGAGGTATCCTGGACCTGTATAATCAGACATGTGGTACCCTGGACCTGTATAATCAGACATGAGGTACCCAGGACCTGTATAATCAGACATGAGGTATCCTGGACCTGTATAATCAGACATGTGGTACCCTGGACCTATATAATCAGACATGAGGTACCCAGGACCTGTATAATTAGACAAGTGGTAGCCTGGACCTGTATAATCAGACATGAGGTATCCTGGACCTGTATAATCAGACATGTGGTACCCAGGACCTGTATAATCAGACATGTGGTACCCAGGACCTGTATAATCAGACATGTGGTACCCAGGACCTGTATAATCAGACACAAGGTACCCGTAACCTTTTTAATTAGACATGTGGTAGTCTGGACCTGTATAATCAGACATGTGGCACCCTGGACCTGTATAATCAGACATGTGGTACCCTGAACCTGTATAATCAGACATGAGGTACCATGGACCTGTATAATTAGATATGTAGTACCCTAAACCTGTATAATTAGACATGAGGTACCCTGGACCTGTATCATTAGATATGTCTTAGCCAGGACTTGTATAATAAGACAGGGAGAAGCCAGAATATGTATTATTTGACAAGTGGTACCATGGTCATGTATAATCAGATATGTGGTACCATGGACTTGTATAACCAGACATGTGGTACCCTGGACCTGTATAATCAGACATATGGTAGTCTGGACCTGTATTATCAGACATGTGGTAGTCTGGACCTGTATAATCAGACATGAGGTATCCTGGACCTGTATAATCAGACATGTGGTACCCTGGACCTGTATAATCAGACATGAGGTATCCTGGACCTGTATAATCAGACATGAGGTATTCTGGACCTGTATAATCAGACATGAGGTACCCAGGACCTGTATAATCAGACATGAGGTATCCTGGACCTGTATAATCAGACATGTGGTACCCTGGACCTGTATAATCAGACATGAGGTACTCAGGACCTGTATAATTAGACAAGTGGTAGCCTGGACCTGTATAATCAGACATGAGGTACCCAGGACCTGTATAATCAGACATGAGGTATCCTGGACCTGTATAATCAGACATGTGGTATCCTGGACCTGTATAATCAGACATGAGGTACTCAGGACCTGTATAATTAGACAAGTGGTAGCCTGGACCTGTATAATCAGACATGAGGTATCCTGGACCTGTATAATCAGACATGTGGTACCAAGGACCTGTATAATCAGACATGTGGTACCCAGGACCTGTATAATCAGACACAAGGTACCCTGAACCTTTTTAATCAGACATGTGGTAGTCTGGACCTGTATAATCAGACATGTGGTACCCTGAACCTGTATAATCAGACATGTGGTACCCAGGACCTGTATAATCAGACATGTGGTACCCAGGACCTGTATAATCAGACATGTGGTACCCAGGACCTGTATAATCAGACATGTGGTACCCAGGACCTGTATAATCAGACACAAGGTACCCTGAACCTTTTTAATCAGACATGTGGTAGTCTGGACCTGTATAATCAGACATGTGGTACCCTG